CCTTCAAGTCTTGTAGTTGTGTCCATCCCCAACATACTTCTCTTCAATGCTTTGAAAGTTAATGACAGCATCAAACTCCAGGACTGCTCTGCTAAACCAAATCTTTCAAAACCAGTGCAAACGTAAATGGTTTCCCAACCTCTTACCCTCTTCATTTCCTGTTCAGAAAACAAAGTAATCAGCTGCAGCAAAGTAAGAGTTCTGGGGATATATTGAATAAGCCATTTTCTGGAGAAGTAGTTATCTTTTAGTCAAGCAGGCAGAAAACCCCTGATGTTGTTGTATTCTTTCCTATATACAAATACAGGATCAAATGGTTTGGGCTTGCTGTATTTCTCTGGTTTTGTTTGCTGTGTTCAGGAGTGCAAACTGAAATGTTCCCTGACAACAGAGAAGGACAGTATGCTGATTTCCAACATCTGCAGGATTCTTAATCCTGCTAAATATGTGCCATTCCTGTACCACGCTTCCTAGGCCCACTAATGTTCCACTGCCACCTGCTTCTGAAAGCATCACTATGCGCAAGACAAGCATCATTCTGTCAAGACCATTCACTCACTCATTCACATTTATAAATTTATGAAGTTTTCATTTGCACAGCAATGACAATTCTATATAACAACCCTGACAGCTATTTTTAATAGGTGTCTCTTCTTTTAGTAGGGGATGACTGTGCATTTTATGAAGGGAGTACAGGAGACTTTCTGTTCCCAGAATGCAAGCTGACTCCTGCCTGTTGTGGTATGGATAGAGAATTAGTGATGACAGTTTCTCCTTATTTTCTTGTAAGTTGCCTGAAACTAGTGCTTATCATACCTGTCTGAAGAAAGGACTGGAGTGGTAGTGGCAATTTTGTGTGGAATGGAGTTTGACTCTCTCTTTGATCCTCTTGAGCAGAGGGGAATGCTCCTGCACACTTTTGAATATAGAAGTGCTGAGAGAATGTTCCAAGTACAGCCATCCTAACAATTAAATTTGTAAGTCACACCCTGTAGGCTGGTAGAAGATCTAATAACAAAACATGTTTAGCTATATGCCTTCATCCACAGCTAGTGTGGAAGGTCCAGTCACTTAAAAGATTTTCAAGATTCTTTGTACCAGTGGCCTTTGGGGATGCCAGATTTCTGTCCATTTTCTTTATCTAATGTACATGCCTTGTTTTTTTCCCTTTGCCTATTCTAACTCTACTCTTGGGGGTCTTTTATTTTTGTAAGGCCTCCCACTGCCTATTCTTTCTAGGGTTCATTGTTTCCAGAAGGAGAAACAGCAGCCTAGAATAATTATATTTTCATACTTCTCACTACATTATGGATTAGATTATGCAAAAGAAGCAATGAAACTGACTTCAGTTTTATTAATATGAATGTATTTCAGCATACAATAGCTTTGAACAGGGAGGGTCATCTTTCCTGTGAACTCAGTTTTGCACTCATTCATTCATAAGGTTCTTGTGCTTACTCTACGAACTAGTAATGGCATTATTTCACATCACAAAATCAGGTATTATATATAAAGTATATAATATATTGCAAGTATAGAAATACTAGACTTAAAAAAAATCTGTTACAAAGTTCTGCCTAATACAGGAATACTTTCAATACATTTGGAATAGAAATTTAGAAATATATGCTCAGGTTAACTAAACATTACTTTGTACAAATCTTTAACTTGGTCCTTAAGAACCTGATGAAGACAAAGAAGGTGGTGACATATTTTAAAGGAACAGGTGATTCAGGGGTACCCTCAAACTAGCTTAGATCCAGAAGGAGAAATGGCAGCATCACCTCATTTCTCTGGCTGGGTCTGGGCCAGCCAGATGCTGCACTCAAATTACTAATATGTCATCGTATTTCCTTCCAGGTGTACCTTATTTCTTTCCTTCTTTATCACTACTGCTTATATGTTATCCTCTTTGCATAAGGGTAGGGGCAAATGAAGTTTGAAGGTACCATACCATGATTTCTCTGTCATTCTTGTAGAAGACAAAGACTAGCTTCTAGAAAGGCACAATTCAAAGTCTAAGATAAGTGAACAGCTGTTGCTTTTGTTGTCAGGCATCATTAGTGTCTTTACAGTATTTTTCATGGCATTACCTGCCTTGAAAAGCAAATCTGAATTTCTTTTTCACATCACTTTAGAAAGTGTCCTTTGGGTTAAGCTAGTCCACCTCCACCACTCTACAAAAGGAGCTGCTACTTACACATTAAAGAACTGTATGTATTTTTTGTAGATCAAGGGTTTCTATTCCCCTTTCTTCACAATACTGGCTTTATGAGGAAGTGTCAAAGTCACTCTCAAGTGCCTGGGTCAGTGCCTCAAGCGTATGTTTGGAACACGCTGACCTTGTGCATCATGTTCCTCTTCTGGTACACTTTATACCAATTAAAAGAGCAGACTAAAATCAAAGTGCTGCTTTTCATAGGAAAACTCCTTTGCCACTGTTATTTGCTGGTGAATTTGCTGTAAGGCTTCTTTAGCTAAAGTGCCTCCTTTAGTCACTTCTGATTATGCAGTTTCAATGGAGGTTTTGAAGTGTTCTGATTATAAGAGTGATGCATATGCAGTGATTAACAGTTATTATCAAGGGAATAACACCAAAAATAAAGTTCTGCATGAAGACAACTATTGGAGAGCTTCCACTTCAGTACAGAAGGAAAAATTAGGTAAGCATTTATGGTAAGGATGAAGATCTGGTTCCAATTTTTACAACCTGTTACAGAGTCTATTTGAGTCTACATTTACTATTGCATTTGTATCTAGATATCATAGACAAATTTCTGGTGAAAATCAGGTTAATGAGTTAGGAATATTTAGGAAAGGAAAAGATATTCCTGAATTTTAAATTCAAAAGACACAATAAATATATTTTTTTAAGCTTCTCCTTTTATTTTGGACATTTCAATATTTGTTAAGGATTTAATGAGCAGGGTTTTTTCATATTTTTGAGCTAGGCCTTCTGCTTCCTTCTGAAATCTCTGGGCCTGTTTGCACTTACTGATAGGCCAAGTAGGCTGAGGCACCTGGTGATATGGCAATGTTTGTCAGTCCCCCTGGTTCTACTTGCATCAATCAAATTCTTTTTTTAGTCATTGAAGTTAGTGGAAAAGGTTTCTGGGGTTTCATCTGTAAGCCTTTGAGTTTAGCGAGTGGGGTGTTCCATCTGAATGTTTCAAAGCACTAAAAATTACTACGACAGTGTTCTTCTGACTATTTATATATATAGAGGAACATATCTCAAGTGATAAGCATTTCCAATCTAAAATGATAGCTAGCTAGAGTAACTTGGCTTTGCCTAGGTCCTGGTCTTGTATTCCTCAGTATGCATGTTTTACCAACCCTATATTTAACAGTCATGTGTATTTTAAGTGCTACCACAAATATGTTGACCTGTTATGAGTTACATTCTTTAAATCCAGCCATGGAGAATCATGAAATGCTTCAGCTTGAGATGGACCTCTGGAGGCCACTTAGTCCAAACTCCCCCTAAAGCAGGTACAGTTAGAGTGAACTGCTTGAGGCCTTGTGTGGTTGAGTTTTGAATATTTCCAAGGACAGAGAATTGATACTCTGAGCTGACCACCACCATGGTAAAAAAAGAGTTTTCCCTCCATCTAATTAAAAGTTACACCATTTATTCTTGCCTGAAAAAAAGCCTGGCTTAATCTTCCCTATATCCTCACATTGGATAGTCATAGACAACCGCACAATCTCAGAATAACAGAATTGTTTCTATTGGAAAACATTTCATGAAACGAATTCTCTTGCTCACACAGGGTCAGCTAGAACTAGTTACTCAAAATCTTGCCCAGTTGTTCATTGAATGTCTTAACCTTTCTGGGCAATGTGTTTGACCAGCCTCACAGTAGAACAGTGTTTTCTTGTGTTCAGATGGAATTCCATGGTTTTCAATTTATGCCCATTGCCTCTTGTCTCTGAGCAGCACTGAAAAGAGCCTGGCATTGCACTCTTCGTTCCAACCCCTCAGGTATTTATACATGTGGGTAAGGCACCCCCAAGCCTCTCTTCTCCAGGCTGAGCAGTCTCAGCTCTTTCAGGCTTTCCTCATTTGGAAGATGTTCCAGTCTCCTAGTCATCTTTGTAGTCCTTCACTGTCCAGTAAGCCCATCTTGTTTTTGTATTGGGGAGCTCATAGCTGGACACAGTGCTCCATGTGTGGCTTTAGAGATGAGTAGAGACAAAAGACCACCTCCCTTCACATTGCTTTCAGTTCCCTTCCTAATGTGGCCTAGGAGGCTGTTGGCTGCCTTTGCCATCAGCTTGCATCACTATCTCATGGTCAGCTTGTTCACCAAAGTCCTCAAATCCTTTTCTGGAGTGCTGTTCTTTAGCCAGCCAGGCCACAGCATGTAACAGTGCTATGTGTTTTTCCTCCCCAGATGCAGACATCTGCATTCATCCTCATTGCTCTTTAAGAGATTTCTCTCAGATATCCTTTTCTGTTGGACCAAGACCCTCTGAATCTTACCTTATCTCTGATCTACAATCACCTTATAGATCAGCTAGTCCTTCTAGTTGTGTACTGTGTACTTGCTGAAAGATGTACTCATGGTTATCGGTGAAGATGTTTAACAGTGCTGGTCCCAAAACTTGGATACGCCACTAATGACTTGTCTCTAAACCAGGGATCGCAGCACTCTGGGCTTGGCAGGTAGGCCATTTTAATACACCTCATTGTATGCTTCTTTAACCTGTATTTTGCCAGCTGTTCTGAGTCTGTTAGGGGAGCCAGTGTCACAAGTCTTACTGAAATTGATGTAAACAACTTCCACTATTCTCCCATCATCCACCAAAACAGTTACATCATCCACATTGTGGTAAGTTATCGGGTTAGTCAAGCATGGCTTCCTCTTCATAAATCCATGTTGACTACCATGTTGTGCTTCCATGTTGACTACCATGTTGTGCTTCACCTGTTTGGAAAAATGGCTTCTAGGATTAGCTGTTCCTTTATCTGTCCAGAGATTGTGGTGAAGCTGCTCTGCCTGTAGTACCCTTGATGTTTCATGTTGCCACTCTTGAAAATAGAAGTAACATTTTCTTTCCTCCACTCTTCAGGAATCTTTCCCAGTTGACATGACATTTCGAGGTAATAAAGAGTGGACTTGCAGTGGCATCATGCAGCTTCCCCAGCACTTGTGGGTCCAACCTCTTATGCTTCATGAATTTATATATGTACAGTTTGTTGAGGCTCTCTTTAATATATTTTTCCTTTTGTGGAGGGCCAGGCATGTTCCAAACTTTCCTCTGTTTTCTGGGGCTTAGGATTCCTCAAGGACAGTTTTACCAGAAAACACGGAGGCAAAGAAGGTATTGAATATCTCAGACTTTTCCATGTTCTTTGTTATCAGCACCTCTACCCCATCCAGGAAGAGTTTACATTTTCCCTAGCTGTCCTTTTATTCCTTTTGCTATTTGCTACAACTACACATAGAACTCTCTTTTGTTACCCTTCATGTGCAGAAATGTTGCTAGATTGCTCTCCAGGCTGGCCCTGGCTTTCCTGGTGCTATCACAACAGCTCTGTATCCCTCCTGCACAATCTTTCCCAGCTTTCACTGTGGTATGTGTTTCCTTTTGAGTTCAGTAAGGAACATTGTCATTCCAGTCTCTAGCTGCCTTTCATTTCCTACTTGTTGGGATGGAGCTTGTTGATCTTGTAGGAGGTGATTCTTGAATATCAACAAAATCTCCCCTCCCCTTCCCAGAACTTCCTTTCCCGGAACTTCCCTTCCCTTCCCTCCAAATCCGGAGCTGAAGAAGTTTCCCTGCCTCTTGCACACTTCTCTACCATTTGAAGGAGATCAAAGAAAGGGAGGAATTTGGTAAAAACAACAAAACCAACCAAATAAAACCCCAACCCACAATCAAAATAACCTCAAAAACAAACAAATAAACAAAAACCAAAACAGAAAACCTCTCCAAAACAACAGCAACAAATAACCCTAAAACAACGACAACAACAACAACAAAACAACTCAGAATAAAAACAAACCCCTCCAGATCCTCAAAACTTGAGCAAAACCCAGCTGCCTGCATCCACCCAGCTACCTGCATCAGTGTGCTGACACTCTCAGCTGTGCTTGGAGAGATGCATACAGGTAATATCTGTCACTCACAAAAGCTTTTTTGAGTTGAAATTTGCAATGTTTATATATGAACTTTGCATGATGTGCCACTTGTGCTCTTGCCTGTGTTATTTCAATAAATTGAAGCAAACCAGTTTGATAAGCTTTTATTGATGCCACAGCTCTATCAACACTGTGCCTGAGACACAGGCCTTTCTGATCCTCCAGCTCAGGGGTTCATCTGTGCCCCCAAAACTGGTGTTGATCATCATGGTAAGAGGATTTGCAAACCCTGAAATCTCCTGCAAAGCTGTAACTGTGAGGATGGGGCTATTTCACCCCAAATATTGGCAGCAATTGTCTTGTGGGATGGGCATTCTGGGGTGCGTGTTTGTCAGATGGAGGCATCACTTTTCTCTCCATCTTCTGCTGTCACAGAGCAGAGAAGGAAAGGCTTTTTTTTGCAAACCCACTTGTGTTCAGCATCACATCTTTTAACTTCAAAGTCCTTGGCTCTCAGTGTCCCACACCCTTCATCCATCTCGTGCAGAGAGGTGCCAAGCCTGTAAAACAAAAATTGTATCGCTGAAGAGGAGGAAATTCTCCAAATCTTGCAGAAAAGGAGATGTGGGGTGGGGTTGTTCTGCCCTTTTCCTGCACTGTCTCACTGTGCATCCATAATTTCTTGCTGGAGGATGACCAGATTTGAGGAGAGTTGCTGTACCTGCAGTAAGATCTACAAGGAGCACGTGTGGAGCATGAAAAGCTCCACACATAATTGCATGGGTCTGGTGGGAGCTGTGGGGTTACTGTGCTCCGGTACAGTTCCCCAACCTTTGTTCTACAGAACTTTGCTGGGGGGAATATGAGACTCTTGCATAAATTCCAACATCTTGGACAGATGGGTCAGAGCATGAATTGGGTCTGGAATGGAGCAAAGCTGCTGTTTACACCAACAGACTGTGGATACACTCACATTTTGGGGTTGAAAGGTGTGTTGTCTACCCATTTCCACACCTTCTGATGTGACCTTAATCCAATCCAAACTGGTGGTGGGCTCTTGCCTGAAACAGTCTTGATGTGCTCCTGGAAAACAGAAGTGATCAGTTGCTCCCAAAATCTCTCTCTGGAGGTTTCATGGCAATCAAATTCACAGAGTAAATCTGACTCCCAAATTCATGAGACATGAATTTCCCCCATACTTTGAATGTGTCCCCAAACCCTCCTGTTGATAGGCACTTTTTTCTTCCCTGCCCACCTAAAAATCAGGACTTTTGTGTCCTTTTTAAGCCTTCTTCTCCCTATTTACCTTTTCTTTCTTGTCCTGGAGCACCACCAACTGGGAGTCCTGGTTCTCACAGCTTTTCATGCCTTGAGTCCAGTTTCCCAATTCCTCAGAAAGCCAGTAGCATCTTTCCCCGTGAAGCTGCCAGTCCTGGGGACACAGCTTGCAGCCAGCGTAGGCTGAAGGGGAGAAAAAGCCATGAGACACTCTGAAGGGCTGTCAGGTTATTCCCCAGCCACCAGCTAAAGGTACTGAAGGTACCCCATCCCACACCCCAGCTCTTTCCCCATTGCTGGGTTTTTCACATCGATGTGGTTTTACCAGCCCCTGGAGAGAAGGAAGGTTACTGAGGCTGGGTGACCACAAGGACATTATTGGCTGGTGGAGGTGGAGGAAGAGTGGCAAGAAACCTCCTCCCTAGGGCTGATGCTGCTCCTCCATGGAGGAGGGATCAGCAAAAATTGCATGGAAAAGAGGATTCTTCCTTGCAAAACTCCTCTTTGCCAAATAACTCTTGTGGTCTCACAACCCCAAGGGTCTCTCTCCTTGCAGTAGAAGACCCCCACAAAAGTCTCACCTGAACATCTCCCAGCAGAGTCAGATTGAAAGGGGGATTACCTGTGGGGTTGTCCCCTTGGGGCTTGCAGAAATACCGCACCAGGGATGAAAACATGCACTGCTCCACTTGGTTCCTTCCCTGGATCCCAGTGCCTAGCTGCGGAACACTTGTCACCACTGGCTGTGGGAAACCCTGAAAAACTTGGAGCAGTAATCTGAGGTGAGAAGCTGCAGCCGTTTGGGGATAAAAACCACAAACCCTACAAAACCGGGTTTCATTTTCTTATACAGTTGCTTAAGCCAGCCTGAAAAACATGGCTTGTATTCTTCACCCTTGTTTGATAGCTATGGGTATAATCCAGGTTTACTCAGAATGGGCTTATTCTTGATGGGTGATGTCGCATCTCTACAGGACAACCTTGTCCCCTCCAAAGACTGAAATGCTGAAATAAACCCCAATTTCCCCTCCCTGGCTGCTCACTGGAGTGTGAGGTGTAGATAAGAGCTGGTTACTCACCCCGCACAGTCAGCACCACCACCAGGACCAGCAGGATGAGTTGCCCCAGCCCCCCGGCTATGAGAAGGAGCCTGTGCCACCATGGACAGAAGGCAGGTGCTGAAAGAGGCCACATTTGCTTTAAAAAATGAAAGATGAAAATACTGGGGGTTTAGAGGGGAAAAAAAAAGCCCCTCTGTCAAGCTGGTGAGTTTGAGCAGAAGTTTACAGCTTCTTTGCTTCCTCCAAAGAAGTAAATCACCACTGATGTGGTCTAGGGTGAGGGTGGTTTCTCAGGTGGAGGAGGGGCTGCAGGAGCCTCAGGAGCATCCTTGGGCACCCAATGATGGATCTTGGGGGATGGGAAACCATTCTGAAATAGGCTTAATTTAGAGCTCCTGCTATAGCTGGGAGTTAGTGAGACAAAGGTCACTCCAGCTCTCATCTCCACTAGGATTCCAGACAGGATCTCAGCAGCATTCCTTCCCACCCAGGTGTGTTGGCTCATGTTAGGTTTCTTGGCACCCATTTTGCCCCCCAGGTGAAGAGTCTCAGAAGCCAAATGGCTTCCAGATATCTGCCACCCTCTCTCATCCTTTCCTTTCTCTTATTCCCCCTCTTTTCAAGCCAGGGTGCTACCTTAGAAGACATTTAACCCACAACAATGTTCTCCATGGTCTTGGAAACCTTAACATGGAGATGAAGCAAGCAAGCAAACCTAAAAGTAAACAAATCCAAAAATCTTCCCAAAATTTGAAGCAAGCATTTTCTCCCCAAAATAGCAGTTACCACGATTCTTCTCAGCAGAAGAACTGTCCCCAGGATGCCTTAAATCAGCATAAACAATTTCCCCAGCCATGGTTGCTCAGAAGGTCCCAGAAGCAGCCCAAAAGTGACACTGTCCTCAGACAACCCCTTGCCTTGTGAACTACGCACTCACAGCTGCATCTGCTCCAGGAAATGGTATTGGTTACGGCTTTTATCTGCTCTTCAGTTTGTACATATGTACATTTATATATGTGTCTGTGTGTGTGTGTGTGTGTATTCCACACCCTTCCCTTGTAAATGGAAGTTGGTAAAGAGGGAATGGGTGTCCTGCAGCCAGGAAGAGGCGGCACACCTGGAGGTGTAGAAACATCTGTGGGTTTGGTGGTTGTGTTAAACATCTATGAAAGCAGAATTAATAAATAATCATTTCAAAAAGCCTTTAAATAAGGTTTTTGACTGTGAGGGGGTAGATCAGTGTGACCACAGGCAGGTGGGGAAGAGACAGGTGACATTTGGTGTTTCTTCCCCAGAATATGGGCTGGGAGTGACTTGAAATGCCTTTTGCTCCATGTGACTTATTCTGCTGGTTTTGATATAGTATTTGGTCTCTGTTTTATCCTGGGGCAAAGAGATCCAATGTGGTCAAGGGTTGCTCAGCTCCTGCCCAGGATGAGGTAAGAATCTGGATTTCCTGCTGCCTGCCTGCTGCTAATGAATTTTATTTTGTTACTTTATTTTATTTTGACTTTTTCACCTGCAAGCCCATCCTCCCACTCCTGATGTATCCTTTTACACCATCTAGACCTATGTTTCCTCCAGGTTTGGGAGTCTTTGACTTCTGCATGGAACAACCAACAATTTTCAGCCTACAGTAACCTTTCCCCCTCCCTTTTCTTAGGGTTTTTTGGTGTTAAGCCCAGCTTTTAGTCAGTGCCACAATATCCCAAAGCAACACCTTTTTACAGAGGCAAAAATGATGTTTTTTTCCTCAGACACCCAAAAAAAAAAAGGCACGCAAAATGTAGACATTTGCCCCAATAGCTATCACCACACAGAAATAGGGTAAATAAGAAGATAAACCCAAAGGCCCCAGTAGGAAAAGCACCGTGTTATTTTATTTTGAAATTATTTTAAAATTTTTAGTTAAAGTAAAAGAAATACTTTTATTTTAAATTTGTGTTTATGTACTTTTTATTTTTGTTTTTTTTATTGTCTCATGATTATTTTTAGTTTCTTCCCCCCCCACCCCCCAGCCTTTTCTTTGTCACAGAAAGTTTTTGTGGTGAGCTGCTATCAGCCAGCCTTCCTGCCCTCTGCAAAGGCAGCTGCTTCAGTGGTGTGTGACCACTGATTACAAAAAACCCCGAAAAAATATAAAATAAATTAGGTTTTAGGGTAAAACCTGCAGCTGGGTAGCTTAATTGCAAGAACACTTTTTTTTTTTTTATATTTTTACAGTAAAAAACTTTATAAAATGTGCTGAAAGGAACTGTACTTCTCCCTTGTAGAATCCCCGAATGCTGTTCTGGGGTGCCCTGACATCCTGGAACAGAGTGATGTCTGGCAGTGTTTCCTCCAACTGCACACTAAAAAAAGCATTTTTGGACTGTCCATCTCCCTAGCTGAGAAAAATTTCCAGAAATGCTGGGAAAGAAGGTGAAGTGTTGCTGGGTGGAGCTGGAGGGGAACCCCTGGTTCTGCGGGTGGGCAGGTGGCCCTGGGCAGGCAGCCCCTTCTTCATTGCCCTTGAGGAGGCACGGGAAAATCCCTAAGAATACAATAAAATAAACCAAAACAACATTTTTTTTAAAACACTTTGTTTCTCTTCACAGGAGCAGGTTGTACCTCAGCACTGGGCTTGTTCCCACAGAGCAGACACAGGTGACAGGGTTTGGGATGGCCTGGGGGCTGAGGGGAGGTGGTCTTAAATTTTGACTGGAAGAGAGAATTTCAGTTGCAGGGAGAAGTTTTTAATTGCAGGAGAAAATTTTAATTGAGGGGATTTTAATAGGGGAAGATTATTTTAAATGGGGGGAGAAAACTTTAATTTAGGAGAGAAAACTTTAGTAGAGAAAACCTTAATTTTGGAGAGAAAATATTAACTGAAAAGAAGATATTAATTGAGGGGAGAAGGTATTGATTGGGGGAAAAACTTTAATGGGGAGAAAAATTTGCAGGGAGGAAAATTTAATTGCAGCAGAAAATTTTAACTGCAGGGAGAAAATGTTACCTGAGGAGACTTCAATTTTAATTTTTAAGATTTTAATAGGTGGGGAAAACTAATTTGGGATGAAAGTGTGATTGCAGAGAGAAAAATTGACATAGAGGGAGAAAATTTTAGCTGAGGGGAGAAAAGTATAACTAACCAGATAAAACTAATTAGGGGGAGAGGAAATTTTAATTGTAGGGACGAGATTTTAATTGTGTGGGAAAATTTCAGGTGGGGAGAAAAATTTAAATATGGTGCAGGGAGAAAATTTTAAATTGTGAGAAAATTTTAATTGAGCATGGAGAGCCTTTGTGACACGTCTGATAGATGAAACTTTGCTTGACAGGTGAGGCAAGAGCACCTGTAGAGGTGGAACCCCAAAAATGGAGGAAATAAGAGTTTATTCCGGATTTTTGGGCATCGAAAGGAACAAGCGGGCAGGTAACTGTAAGGCAGTGAACTGTAGAATCACTGGGTTTGGGTTTTATTTTGATACTTCTGTAATTTGAGAATCAAACCCAGCTGAAGTAAGGTTGTAGGGTAGAAAAAGCTTTTTCTGGCACTTCCCTTAAGGGAAAATTTTTGTCACTCAGCAGATAGAATTTTTGCTCTAAACAGACCAATTTCAGACACGATGGGTTATTCAAATTTAGCATTAAACTTTCCTGAGGCTCTTGAGTAACTGATTCTTTTCGGTATATTTTTTTACCCAAAATATTCCATTTTTTGGTTGATTTCCATTTGTTGATTTTAAATTTTTTTAATATATCTTTTTTTTTTTTTTTAATATTTGGCTTCTGACTTACTTTCTAATATTTTTTCCAGGAAAAAGAGGGGAGAGGAGGGTTTTTCCCATGACATTTGGTTCATATGATGGAAACAAAAAGGGAAAATCTTAAACAAAAAATGGGAGAAGTCCTACTGGATGAAAACACTAAGATTTTTGTATAAAACCCCTAGGAAAGAGAATTTTCTTTGCTCATGGTGAAGGAAAAGTGTGTATTCTGGATCACAAGACACAGAAATGGAGGTCATGACCCAAAGTGTCTTAGTTTAGGTTGAGAAAAAAACTCCACTGAACTTTAATAATGAGGTAAATCCCAGAAATTAAAGCAGATTTTTAATTATGGTACATTTCATGAGTTTGCATCTGGAGCTGGGGAGGAAACTGTTCCCCAAAGAGCTCCCATAAGTAAAAAAATAGCTACTTTTGTTCCACGTGAAGAAGAATATTTGGTGTTTCTCACACAAAATGACCGCAAGTCCAGTGCCATTGTCACGAGGCCAACCCTTGATCCTGGCATGGCCCATGGCGTGCTGCTGCCCTGGGAGCCCCTGCAGAGGCACTGAAGGTCTGTTCTCCTGCAGGTCACAGCATGGAGATGAAGCCAGAGGCACGTGTCGCCTGCCAGGTGATGCTGGCAGTGCTTTTCACAGCTCTGCTCATCACAGCCATCGCTTTTGCAGGTGAATGTCGAAGTTTTAGTCTCACAGGTAATGTCTCTGAGATATTTTGGCTTGTTGAACTTGTGACAGATTTATTTCCATGTTCCTGCGGAAGACAAAGCCCACCCAAGCTGCTGTTCTCTCTGTGAGAAGGACATTTTCCAGCAGTCTTTCTACAGAAGAACAAACCCATCCCCATGGTGTGAGAACTGATGTCGTCAAGAAACCCTTAGAAAATCAACAGGAAGAGCCATTTCAGGAGTACAGTCACACAGAAATATTTTTTTCACAGAATAAGGGGCCTGGAGATGTTGGCATGAGTCCCACCAAGTCAAGAAGTGTGCAGGAATAAGAGGACATTTTTCCTGTCATTTTCACTACTTTTGCATTAATGACAGAGAGCAACACCCAAGGGCATGTTTAGGGATAGGGCTACTCTGAAACTCCTCTTTAAAATGTGCTTTTTCAAGTCTGCCACCCTATTTTCTTCTTTGAAGGTGCAGCACCTGTATTTCTTATCCAACATCACAAGCTGGGCCACGATGAGCTTATTTTCTCACAGGATCTCTCTCAGTATCTTAATTTTTCTCTTCTCCTACAGTTGAGGAAGGTGAAGACTTTTGGAAGCCATGGGGTGGAGGATGATCTCTCCACCCCAGAGAGGAAAGGGGAAGGTGCTGCTTGTTAACGTTGTTCTATTCTTAATGACAGTGCAAGCTTTTCAGCCTCATGCCCAGCCCTGCTTTCAGTGCCCCTTTGACTGGATCAGGTACCGAGGAAAATGCTACTATTTTTCTGAGGTTGAAGGGAATTGGACATACAGCCAGGACAACTGCTCAGCACTTGGTGCTTCCTTGGCCATGCTGGACAGCACGGAGGACTTGGTAAGGAGACATGAGGACCTGCTTGGCATGGGGGGAAAAAACCAAAAGCACTGTATTTGAAACCTTTTGGTTTCTGTGACTGCTCTTCCAGAATCTGTTTTGAAGATCTGGGGTGAGAATTAGGGGAAAAGGCCTTGAGGGTATGTCATCATGGGTCTCTTCAAATTCCTCACCAAAGCCAACTGCTGCAAGGACTGTAGGGATAAACTCCTGTTTCTAGATGACACTTTCTGATAGCGGATTGAAATGTTCAAGCCCCAAAGAAGCCCTAAAGCAGCATAAGCAACTGACAAAATGGAGGGTTTTGGTTGGAAGAAGGTAAAAATCTTTCCCTCTCTTTCAGAGCTTTGTGATGAGGTACAAAGGCATCTCAGAGCATTGGATTGGCCTTTTGCGAGAGGATGAGGAGCAGCCATGGCTGTGGGTGAATCGCTCACCTCTATCTCACCTGTGAGTCCATGTTTTTCATTATTAAGGTGTTGGTTGGTGTTTCCTCAGCCGCAAAATGTGCATTTCTTCCTGTACTTGAAGTAAATCCAGAGGTAGCAATGGGACAATGTTTGGGAAGGGCCATTGGGAAGGGCCAACATTGCATCTGGAACTGCTCTTTGTTTTCCCCTTTGACCTAAAAGATGGGAGTGGTATATTTGGTGAGAAAATCCTAAGTTTGGATTTTTTATTTTAAGTTTGTTTCTCTCTTGCAAAGCTTTGGGTTTCATATTAGAAATAGATCAGTGTCAGCGTTTTGGCATGCTGGTGCCCATGAGGATGCCTGAGAACTGAAGCTGAGGGAGGCCTATGTGTTACTTTTCTCCTTTTTCCTGCTGCTCCATCTGAAATGGGTTATGTCCTCTGTACTTCCAGGTTTCGGATCCGTGGTAGTGGGCTCTGTGCTTACCTGGATGACAATGGGCTCAGCTCCTCCCACTGCAGCACTGAGAGGAGCTGGATTTGTAATAAACATGAGCTGCAGAGCTCAGGCAAGGGCAACAGGATGAGACGGCCTCCAAACCTCTGTGTCAGCTCCTTGGGTGCTGCAGGGAGGCCTTCTCACTCCCAGGTATCTGGTGCACCATAGGGACATGAAAGAAAATCTCAAAAAGATTTTGAAACCCCTGGGTAAGGAGTTATTGGCGTTTCCAGAGGCCAACAAAGTGTTTCTGGGACAAGGCAGACTTTGGGGATCCACATGAGATGGTTCTTAAGAATCTGAGGGAGTGGGGTGGGGTGGAAGGGCAGCTCTGGGGGCTCTTTTTGGGTTTGGGGCAACTTGGTGATGGCCTGAATACAGATGCCTTCTACTTCTTAGAGAAAAAGAAATTTATTCTATCTGGAGCATATTTACATGCTAAGTACTTGGAAATACATCTCAAGTGTAGGGAACAGCAGAGGAAAAGAGTGGGGACAGTGGATGTGAGCACATCCTTGTGATAACAAGGGGATTTAAATGATATAAAACAATAGTAAATGATAAGTTTTAATATGAGGAATAGCTGCTGGTATTAATACAAAGTCTGCAAAAATCAAGATTTTTAATTTTTGCTGGAAGCCCAGCCAATCATAGGCACTGAGGTCAGCAAAAGGAAACTTCCAGAGGAAGCTGTATTTGGGAGAAAAAAATGAAGATTTTAGCTCAAAACAAGCTCATGGAAGTCCAGCTCCTGTTAACAAGCTTTGCATGAATTTAACAACTTAAGATGAGCCGTGCTAAGCTCAGACCCAATATCCCCATGGCACAACCCAAAACAGAGGCATCTAAGATGAAGGAAGGACCATGAACTGAGTTAGAAATTACTCCAAGACTTGGAAAATTAGAGTTGAGGAGCATCAACCAGCATTTCCAACCACTGTGATGCAACCAGCTTTTGGGAGGATCCTTTCAGGGCATCAGCCCTTGGAGGATAGTTTAATGGTTGAGAGGAGCACGCAAAAGTAGGGGAAGACCCTCTCCCCACTGAAGGAGGCAGGCAAAGTGAAGATGCGTTGGCGTCTGCTGACAGCGTAGAAAGAGACCTGTCCCACCTCGTAGTCCAGGTAGACCCCAATCTCCCCATTGAGGAGTGGGACAGAGGTGTGGGAGGGAGCTGTGAGGGCAACGCAGAGCTCATCATACTTCTGCAAGCCCCAGATTTCAGTGTTGGGCTTGAAGAGGACCCGGCCTTTCCTCTGAACTGACTCACGGGCCACCCCCACGGCCCAGAAGCGCCCATTGGCCTCCACCTCCCAGTAGTGCCGGCCCGAGGTGAAGCCCTCGCTGCCCAGCATGCACGGGTCTGTGTCGAACCGGCCTGGACCCTCGGGCCACTGGCATCGAGGTCTGCCCCAGGTGGCTTCCTTGAGGTCCTCAGAGAGGATCACCTCTGGGCCCACTGTGGCTGGATCCAGGGTTACATCCACTGAAAAGCAAAACAGAGAATGAATCAGAAGCCAAATTTAAGCCTAGAGAAAATACACCCCCAAAATGCCTTCACTGGTGACTTTTCAAAGAGAAAGGGAGAGGAAGGGTGAGGCTGCAGATGTAAGTGTGAAGAGGTGGAAGTAGGAGATGGAGGATATATATCCAGTTGAGGCTGGAGATGGAAGAACAAAGAGATGGAGGTTGGAGACGGAGGCCCTAGGGAGACAGAAGGTGGAGCTGGAGAATCTCCAACCCCATTGAACATCTCAGCCCAGAAAACACAAGGAATGGGTACTTTGCTCCTTTCAAGCTGCCTCTGATTACCTTCAAACTGTTTGGCGGTGTGGTAGTCCAGGGCAAGGTCCCATGTGCATGGCCGTGGTTTGAGGAAGAAAGCCATTGCACCCTCAGAGTCCTTTCTTCCTGACTAGAGGCACTGAAGAAGGAAAGAAAGGATAAAATCCAATTATTATCCTTCATCACTATCTCAGCTTCTGCCCCTTTCTATGTAAAAAAAATTTGTTTAAACCACTACATTTAATCAAAGTACTTCAAGAAAATAGCATTATTTTTATTCAACAGTTGCAACAGAGCTTGGTTCATTTATGGGAAGACCCTTGGAGATGGGTTAAATCAATTAATTCCCTAATTACTATGAAGGGAACATGAGTAGCACATTGGGATGAACCCATCTCCATTGTAGATATTATTATACCCCCAAATCTCCATTGCTTGAGCTGGCTGAAGGCTGAATCTACCCATCTTAAATCCATTTCTGCCTCCACCATTCATCAGTCAAATCTTACAAAGTTATTTGACTGAGGAAAGTCCCTAAAATTGAGATAAGCCACCTTCACCTCTCACATCCAGAGAAATCTTGTGAGAGGGGAAGTTTGCTATTGACCTTGGAGAAAATGTGTATGGGGGAGATAAGAGCTGGCACCAAATGGCTTCAAATTCATCCTCTGGAAGTCAGTGTAGGGTTTTGCACGCAAACAAGGAATTGCCCACGCTAAAGTGCCCTGGGCATGAGTAGTAAAACCCCAAAATGATTGAATAAACCATGCTGTGACAGTTGAAAACAAACAGGTTGCTTCTTTTCCATGTGTTTTTGTCTGCAAATCTGCAGATAAGGGGATTAAAGCAGCAGGGTAATGAGTAAAAGTGAGAAAAAAGGTGAGAAAATCACCTAAATGGAGATAGAATCAGGAGCCATGCTGTTTCTCATCCAAATTCCCTGGCTGGATTGTTACAGGTAGAAATAAATAATAATCACGACCCTCCATTGCAAAATACCTTTAGATCCTGAGACCAATGCAAGGGTAAATCCCTTCCCTTCTTGAGTTCATGGGATGGGGAGGGGACTCAAAATCCCCTTTCTCCTCCCCCCCCCAGACATCAGGGTGATGTAACCCCCCTATCGGCACTGGGATTCTCCCTCTTACTCAAACCTTCTTGGTGTTTTCCTTGCTGTCGCTGGTGCTGTATTCGGGTTCCTCCAGATGGTTTTCTTCTACTGGCTGCTTCTCCACTGAGGTTTTTTTTCTTGGGATTTTTTTCTTCCTCTCTCTGGCACAGGCTCAGCCAAAGCTCAGTCCTGTCTCAGCCTCTGCCAGCTTTTATCAGCCAAGAAGGGAGGAGCCCTCCAATCTCTTGCCTGCAGATGGGGCCATGACGTGCTTGGACACCTGCACCATCTGATTGCCCCTTTTTCCCCCATATCAGGGCCATTTATTTTCTCAACACAGGCACTGGGGAGGAAAGGGAGGAAAATTAAAGCACGGCAAAAAAACCCATTATTTCATGGCACCACAAGGGAAAAATCAGTTAAATTTTGCCCCCCTAGTTCCCCAAATCTGACTCTGGCCCCTTACACATGATGGAGGTGAACAAGGCAAAGTTGGGAGCAGCTTCCAGGTGAGGAATGTGACAGCAATGCCTGGAAATAAGACAAACTTGTGGATATAAAATTTGTTTAAAGATTACTTGTGGGTGATGACGTTTGCTTTGCCAGCTGGGGCAGCTTGTGCCGGGAACTGAACACAGGAACACCCAGGGGCGGTTCAAGGGCAGGCAGCTTCACCCCGGGCCACAGCCAACCCCCAGCACTCTTTTCTCCTTGCCAGGAGGGCAGCATGGCCACAGCAGGCACACAAAACCCCTCTGCTGACACTGGCCAGAGCTTCATCTCTTGGTGCTGAAGGGACAAAAACCCCTCAGGAGGCAATGGGTGAGACACCACAGGCTGTGGTCATGAAGACTTCTGGAGGACCAGATGAAACCTATGAGATCACCTTCCTGTGACCCATCAGTCCTTCCCCCTCTCTCTCCCCATGAAAAAAAGGTGCAAAGTGAAAATATTTTAATTTCTTCTTGGGAAAGCAAAGCTCTAGTGCCTGCTCCTAGCTGTGGGAAAAACACAAAATTAGTTGATCCCTGCTTTCCAGGGAAGGCAATGAGGGGGCTTTTTTAGGGAGACTATTTGCTTTCCTCCCCTGAATAATGTAAGATTTTGAAGGCAGGATTATACAAACAAGCTGATTGCTTCACTTGTGGGTTGTTTTGTTGTTTTTGTTTGTTTGTTTGGTTTTGGTTTGGTGGTTTTTTGTGTGTGTGTGTATTCAGGAGAAAATCCAGTCTCATGTGCAATCCTTAAGGAAGGTGTTGGCAGAATTTCTGGACTGGAGAGCAAGTGAAGAGAAGAGACACCAGGACTACCTGATACAGGTTATTCAGCAGTCTGAATGAGTCTTTGGGTATTTATTTTTCCCCAAGCCCCTCTTGAAGAAACAGGTGGGATCATATCCAAGAGGCATCCTGGCACCCTGTAAAGTCCTACATCCAGTTGGAGTGGTTGGTGCAGATCCTGGGCAGGTTTGGCAAGCACCACCTCCATGTGCAGCTGCTTATTATCCACACTTTAAATCAATGTCATGGTGCTGCTTATTTTCATCCCAGACTAAGTCATAAAGGGACATTTGTTAACATGGAATTATCACTCCCCCCTGCTTCTCAGCACCTAGATTGGTTGGACAGAATATAGAGAGGAATGGCAACAGGGGAGGGAAAAGGAGAACCATGATGTGAAGTACATAATTATCCTGCAGTCGCTAATTAGCTGCATCCCCAGCCCTGCCCCAGTGTTACAGCCCCCCTGGCTACAGCAGAAGCACTTTTGTCCTTTAACTCAGTAGGGGAAAATTCAGGTCTGAGGGTTGCATATGGATTTCTTGTCTCCTCCAGGAGATGAGTGAAGCCGAGCGGCGCTGCATCGAGGCTGAGTTTGAGCGGCTGCACTGCTGCTGGCGGAGCGGGAGCGCACCGTGCTGCGGCGGCTGGCTGAGCTGGACGGCACCTTCACAGCTACCCATGCCGAAAAATCATTGCAGGTGGCCGAGGGGGTTGCACAGCTCCACAGACTCATCGGGCAGCTGGAGGCCAGGTGCTTGTCCCAGGTGAGTGCCTTTCTTACCCAAAAGCTGTCCCAAAGTGCTGCCTATGGGGTCTTGAACTCCCCTTTTTTCTCCCTTTTTCCTTTTAGGATGTTGGGAGGATCGTAAGCAGGTATGTGGCAACTGGTTGCTTCATGTCCCTATCACTCCATCTGTGGAGAGGTGCTTGGCTGCTACATCCATCACATAACATCTGTCCCTCTAATTTCTTTTCCCAGCTTGAGTGAAATGAGGTTCCACCTCTCCTCGGGGCTCCCCAAGCAGCTGGATAAGAGCCTGAGCTCCTGCCACCAAAGCGATGCTCTGTGGAGGGCCCTGGTGAAGTTCAGAGGTATTTGGGTAGAAATCGGATATTTTAGGAGAATTCGGAGGCTTTGGGGAGGAATGCAGAGGTATTTGGGATAATTTGGATATTCAGATATGTTCAGATAATTCAGATATTTGTCTGTATTGGGGGGAGGAATTCAGCGTTATTTTGTGAGGAATTCAGTTGCATTTTGGCATAATTTAGTTCTCTGGGGAGAAGTCAGAGGCATTTCAGAAGGAAGAGGAGCTTGTCCAAGGGAAGGGCAGCAGCAAGCTCTGCACCTGCTCACTCCCCACCTTCTTCCCTCCTCCCAGACACGGATCCCCCCATGGGTCTCCCCACAGCAAAGATGATGCTGGAGACTGGCACGACTCCTCTCCTACAGCTTTTGGCAGAGAGAAAAAGGGTGTGGTGGGATGAGGAGGAGGAGCAGGATGAGGGCAGAGAGGCCTGCTGAGGCCAGGAGCTGGCCTAGTAGCCGTCAGGGGGTCATTGCCAGGAGATGCAGGATGCGGACACAGTAGATGGACTCTGCAAGATGCCACTTGTGCATCCTTATCCTAGGTGCTGCCCATACTCCTAGGGAGAGAAATGGTTTTATGAAAACTCCCCTCCCAGCTGCTATAATTAGTAACCAATCTTCTGTTGCTGCTCATCATGTAGGTCATGAATTAAAGGCGAAGAAAACCCCAACAAACAAAAAAACACCCCCGATTTTTCTTTTGTGCATGAGCGTGTGCGTGTTCGTGTGCGTGTGTGTGCGTGTGTGTATGCATAGGCTAGATTTTAAGGTATTTCTTGGTTCCGCTGGGCTAGGGAGAAGGGAGTAGGCGAGTAAGGGGCACACACGGGTCCCGGTTATCGGGTGCGGAGTGGCGGACCTGTCTCGGGTCCTAAACTAGACAGCCTTGACTGAGAACAGCACGTCCCGCTCCTCCCCGCCGCTGGAAGCGGCTGCCGCGGCTCTGGCTGTCGCCTGCCCTCACACGATAAGCGGACACTCCCCGCGGGACGGCGCCTGTCCCGTCCCGCCGTGCAGCTCTCAATGGCCATCCCCCGCTGCGGCTCTTTAATTCTATTTATTTTATTCTGCTCTGTACATTCCATTCACATCTCTTCATCTCTCCCCCCCCCAACCCCCCTCCAGTGCGGCCCCTCTGCCGCTGCCCCGCTCGGGGTGCAGCTCCCGGAGCCTGGGCAGCGACCAGGGCGGCTCGCACCGCACCACCCGCCCGGTGCGCCTCTAGTAGCGCTGTTTCACCCTCGGGGCAGCTCTTGTGGTGACTCCGGCACCGGCACGGCTCGGTTCGGCTCCGGTATCGCCGCCTTGTCCCGTGGGGCAGCTCTTTGGGACGCGGGGCAGCGGCCGCCCCGAGGGGCAGCTCACACAGCACCGCCACGGCCACCCAAGGCAGCGGCCACCCCCAGAGGCAGCTTTTTGCTTCGCTTCGCCTCGCCTCGCCCGCTCTCTTCGTGTAGCCCCTTCACCGCCACCTCACCCCGAGGAGAAAATTCCTGGGAAAATATTTATACCTAGCATATTCCCGACTTTTCTTGCTGCTGCAGAATCCTTATGTAGGCTGAGATTCTCCTTCGAAAAGAACAGTAAGTGCCTGAAATAATTAAGAATTAACTAAGGATTAGGTTGGTCTGCTGAAACCAAAGTAA